CTCGGGCATCTCTTTCGGATGCCTCCTGGGCGCCTTCCTAGGGAGGTGTTCCGGGCATGTCCCACCGGGAGGAGGCCCCGGGGAAGACCCAGGACACGCTGGAGGGACTATGTCTCTCGGCTGGCCTGGGAACGCCGCGGCATTCCCCCGGAGGAGCTGGAGGAAGTGTCTGGAGAGAGGGAAGTCTGGGCATCTATGCTTAGACTGCTGCCCCCGCGACCTGGTCCCGGATAAGCGGAGGAAAATGGATGGATGTGTAAACATACAGCGAGAACGTGCAGATTTAAAATAACACCGTTTACTTTTAAATCTTCTAAATCATCTAAAAGCTAAACAGTTTTTTTCTTAGAAGATGTTTTTCCATCCTGTTACATACTTTTTTGAGCAAGACCCTGAGGAACACCTGTCAGGACAGCTGACAGCTACACACCAAACTGCTGTTGTAGGCTCTGAGAAGGTTTCATAGATTAACGTTAAATATTTGGAACACAAAAAGTTACGAGCGACCTTGGTTGCAGTTTGTGGAGTTCTGTTGAAGCTTTTACAGGCTCTTTTATGATGGTAGTGTGTAAGGAAATCTATTTGTGCTGCAACAGATTTCTGTGCTAAGAGTATTGGGGTTTGCATCATAAACCGGCAACACATGACACCACGGGATATCATTCTGGATCAGTTTTAAAAGACACAGGATTCACGACTAGTGCATTTTTAGATGGTTTCAGATATTTTCATGCTGAGAGCCAGCCAGTGTTGGCAACGGTCATAGTGAGAAATGTGCGTCATTAGACTCAGGAGGCCTCAGAGGCCTCCTCCTGACATGGGTGGAACAGTTTCTTTGGTGGTGGTGGTGGTGGTGGCGGTGGGGGGGGGGTGTACAGCTCTCCTTCCTTCTCCCCGCTTCTATTATTATTCAAGAGTGGACTTAAATGATGAGGTTTTTGTTGTGGTGGCCATTACAGTAGAAACTCCACCATTTTTGTAAAAATGTAACATTATGATTTCAGCAGGGTTATGCAAATATTCTGTCTCCTCTCTTGCAGAAAGAAAAAAAAAAGTGGCGTAGTGTCATCCAGCACCACTACACGTATTCTGGAGTTGTAAAGTCTTGAGTACTCAAAACAAACTTCTTGCTGCAGTGGAATGCAGACTGACTTTGTCCATCATGACTACTACAGGTTCCTGCCTGAAGGCACATTAATAATTCAGTGGGTGGATCCAAACATGCAATGAATCCAACTTTTTTCACTCGGTTTTGCAGCTGGTGAGTTGGCGTGTGTGCATTTCTATTCCCCCTGTTAGGTTTCAGCATTTAGCAAGACTGTTGCCTTGGCAAAAGGCAGCAGTACCTGCATCTGGCATAACATACTGGCCTAATAGTGTGCACATAATATACATTTGTAAATAGTTCATTTGTACTGGGATGTAGTCCTGCTGCCATGTGTATTGGTGTTTTCTTTGGATTAATTATTAATTTTACAATTTCTTGCTTGGGTGGAGCCATGCTGCATGTTCTAATGTTGCAGTACAGCTAAACATAGATGGTTTGACACTACACACAGTTACACACAGTGGGAGCTATTTGGCATTCAGTGGCACATGGACAGAGAGGCCCAGGAATTAGACCACCAGCCCTTTACCACCTGAGCTACACATATAGACGCACATGATACAGTAAATAATCCGCTGATGTTTTATTGTACATATTACATGTGTTTATGGGGGCATAGGGTTTTGGAAATTAACTTTTATTTTACAAAATTTATCAAGAAGCTTTTCAGGCTTAACTTGAAATTTAAACCTGCAATGATACTGTTGCTATTTCCTGTTTCTTCTCTGTCTGAGTGGAGGAATGTTATTTGTGTTAGCTACAGGGGGTAAATTATTGTAATTCTGAAACTGAATGACAAGAGACAGCGAGAGAGTTTTTTTGTAAAATGTTACAAAAAGATGGATGGATAATGTTGCTAGGAGACCCTGACATCAGCTACTTATCCCAGAATCACGCAGTAGCCCACATGCATTCAGACTCTGTGTGTGTGTGTGTGTGTGTGTGTGTTTGTGTGTCCTCCTCTCCCCACTGCATTTGTGTGTGTCCTTGTTCTTGCTCGTACTATAAAGCCGTCAGCATCTCCTTCACGTTGCTCTCTGCTCGAGCACCACCAAGGCTGTTTCCGCTGAAACCCAAATTACACTCAGCTGTGCTTGGAGGAGGAACAACGGATGATGCTTAAGGTTTTTCTTTCTTTTTTTTTTTAATACAGAGCATTTTGGCAGGCATATTTTTATCAAGGTTATAGTGCAAATATCGACTCCTACACAAGCTTGTGTCTTCTTTGAACCAACTTACTCCCCAAAGCAAAATCTGTGAATGGATGATTAAGAGACAGAGAGAAGAAAAAAAAAAGAGAAACTACAGAGAACAATAGTTCAGCAGTGGAACAAGGAGAGGTGAAACAGAACTCAAGGAAAGGAGGCTGCAACTACAGTGGATTGTTTACCTTTTGGGTATTTGATGACCGTGCTCACAGAAGACATCTGTTCAGCTCCTTGTGAACAAATCCCCAGCAGTGCCTGGAGGCTTGCTTATCTCTCATGTCAGAAATGCAGCATGCTTTAAAGCTGCAAGGGGCGATGTATTGGTAGCAGAGGGGGCAGTTTTCATCCAATCTGATCTGAAGAAAAGAAACATTTTCCCACATGCCTATTATTTTTCTCTCCTCTTCACATGAACACATCTACAGTCATTTCTCTTTTACTATATTTTAGCTTTGGGCTGCAATTAAATGCACACCTCTTGAGGGAACTTGAGGGATCTTTTTCTTCTTTCACCACTCCTTTTGTTTCCTTCCCAATTTCAGTTTTTCCTCAGACATGCTCACCGATTAGCTTACTGTCCATCCTCACCTCTCCCTACCTCATACCTCTGTTCACCCCATCACTTCCCTCTTCTTTTCTTTGACGTATCTTTCTTGCCTGATTTTTCTCTCTTTCTGCATATTTTCCTCGCCTCCATTCCAAATGATCAGTCTTTCTCTCCCTGACTTAGCCTAAGGTCAGACAGGACTCAGTGCACACATGCTGCCTGCTTTTGACTGCCATTTATTTCTATATAGCCTTCACAACCGGCTCCTTTTAGCATTTATTCTCTCTACCCTCTGTCATTAACTCCAAAATCCTTTCAAAATGTACTCATCTGAAGAACTGTGGAACTCCACCGAGCTGGTCTGGAGCAATGGCTCAGAGGCGAACTTTTCTCTGGGAAAACATAGAAACAATGAGAAAGAGGAGGAAGATCAGCACCCTTTCCTCACGGATGCCTGGCTGGTCCCCCTCTTCTTCTCCCTTATCATGCTGGTCGGTCTGGTGGGCAACTCGCTGGTTATTTATGTCATTTCCAAACACAGGCAGATGAGGACGGCAACAAACTTCTACATAGGTGAGTGAGAGTGAAAACGTAAGCAAGTTTGTCTTTCACATTTCTGGCTGATATAAGCAACATAAGTTTGTCTTTCACATTTCTGGCTGATTGTGACATAACAGATACGCAGACAGATTTAAACAAGGACTTTCTGGGGACCATGGTGTTTATCATGACCTACCAGAGTATCAGTTTCATGTGTCTTACATTTATTTGCTCTATCCTGTAACACTTCATCGCATGCCAAAAGTGGGTTCAAAAGACCTCCAGGGATTCGGGAGGAACCTCAGAGTAATTTCACTCACTCTCAATTTGGCCAGTAGTTAAGAATGTCCACGTTGATTGCAGGTTTCTCTGTTGACATTAGAGGAAGTGACAGGTGTTCAGATATATTCTGAATTAAAACTGAGTGCAAATTGTTTCCAAAACAGGGCACCCAAGGAGACAAAGTCTGATTAAACAGCTGAAATAATGATCTGCTGGAGATTGTTTTGGGAGTCTTACGACATACAATTTAGAAATATTGTTTTGTGCAAGCGTGCAATTTTAATCATCCAAGAGTTCAGCACTTAAAACGTGTTCACTTGTCTGCGCTTATTCACAAAGGTTTGGTTACTCTGCACAGGATTCATGATGTTGAAATAATCAACAATAAAAACTGTTCAGGTCCAAGCAAAGTGCATCATTGATACTGCAACCTGCTCCTATTTTCAGATTGACAATGGGTTGCATACTGTTATCAGTTTTTTTTAGCAAATTATTCAGGTTGAGAAGATGAGAGATATACATCAGGTGTAGGTGTGAAGCAGGGCACTGTGGGCCATTTCCTCCTCTAGTTTCTCCTCCTTGTTTAATTTCATATTTCCCTTTCCCCCTATCTGTTTTCACTATCTCTCCATCTTCCTGTGCCTCACCATCTAGATCTCACATTTTCATATCAACTGAGCTCCAAGCTGGCATAAACACTGTGCTGGCTGTGAATAGGGGAACAGACAGGAGACACACTGTAACAGTGTTTGAATCTGAAAGCCTTGCTGTGTTTCTTGCTAAGGGCCGCACATTATCCTTGATAACTATCCACTTGTCTTGGGCTCTAAGAGCAACTTGGACAGTGTATGTTGATCATTCTCTCTGCCCTTATAGTGACAATTTGATACTCCATTCAGTGGGTTTTCTTGTTTCTTACCTATAATCTTCTTTAATTAGTCATATCTGATATTGTTCCCCCCATTTCTAGGACTCATTCATAGAGCAAATACATGTGTGATCTGCTAACAAACTAACAAACATGCCCGAATAGCTCTTGTTTGACTCCTAGGGGGCTGGATCAGAGTCAGAAGTCAATAGACAACACAGCACAGGAACAAGATCAATCTTATGAAATAAATAAGAGAACAAGCTCAGACCAGCCAGTGGAAACAAAGGAAACCATGTGTGCCATATACCAAGTCTGATATCTCCCTGCTTTTATTAATTGGTGATTAATAACGCCTCTCTGTTCGTTAGCACAGTCATCTCCCGTGCAGCCAAGTGTGTTGCTGCTAATATGCAATCATGCGAATTATGTGCACCTTACTACCTTGCTACATTTTACCTCTCCCTGACTAATATGGCATCCACGAGGGGAGCAGAAAAAAGAGTGAGCTGCAAAAAAGACTTAACAATAAAATCCCCACATTCACTGTTACCTAGGTGGGTGTCTAATTTTACCCCAATTCCAATAAATCACACAAAAAAAGAAAGATTTGGTCATGTGCCATTAAACCATAACAGCAGGGCACCAATAAAACCTAAAAACAAATGAAACCCATGAAGAAAAAAGTGGTGGCGATGTGACATTTATGTTTATCTGTTAATTTAAGAAGCAGTACAGTCTCCTCACAGTCACAGATCAGATGTTTCATCTCTTTAGTGAGCGTTTAAGTGACACTCTGTGTACATCATGAATAATTCACTCTGTTTTCATTGCACTTTGTCACATTTTGTTCTTATCAATACATCTACATTACCACCTCAGCCAAATAATCTGATATTTACACATTTTGTATTTCCAAGTGTTTTAATGCACAAAATGAAAATGGAAACACAATTACAGAATTTATCTTGGGAATTGCACTAATCCATCATGAGTCAAATTGAACAAGAGAAATCAAGTGGGAGCATTAACCATGCACCCGTCTCCTCTGGTATTCAGTGCAGAACTGAAACCCCGGGTTACTGGTTTCTGTTGAAGTCAGTCACAACATGTCTGACAGAGTTGTGCCAATACCTCTCACTTGAGAAGGTGATTGATTCATTAAGGTAAAGCCCACAGAAGATCGGGAAAAAAAAACATGAAATAAATAAAAAGCATGCCACATACGTTAGAAATGAAAATGAGGCAAAGCATTTTTGGGCATTTCTGTGATTTTCTGTAGAAATAGTTTGTGTCTGTTTGCATAGTGCACTGTAGATGTGCCACAGCACCATTTGTCCACCCTTTCAACATAATGGTCCAGCCACTATAATGTAATTAGATCAGCTAGTAAAACAAACAGCTTATGGTTTGTGGTGATTCTGTCAGAATGAGAGAAGGGAAAACCAGATCAGACTGCCAAGGTTATCATGGCAACCCCTCTTGGTGCGTAATCTGAATATGAATTTGTGCTTTTATGTGCATGAACATGAAAATACTGGGCAGGCAGAGGGTAGGAATTTACAGTAACGTAAGCATTTTGTATTTCAATGAAAGAGTCTCTGTGTGTGTGTGTGTGTGTAGGTTTGACAAATCATAAGTCAAACATTTGTATGATTTTCATAAAACACATTCAGCTCTTCATTAAGTAAACACATGCTGATTCTGAAGCAGTCACTTAATACTTGATGTATGTATGCAATAAATTTACCCTACCCATTAGGTTTTTCAGTCACCAGACACAAATGGATAAAATTGTGAAATGAAAAAAAAAAAACAACAACTCAGTCAGACATTTCTAACCCCCTGGAAAGTCGTATTAATGCAGAGAAATTGCACTGGGGTGTAAAAGATTACACAGATGTTGCTTGTAGATGATGATACTGTGGATAGGAGTACACAGTCACAAACTGTTAACTACGCTCGCATTTTATTGCCAAGTGTTTCTTGACATCTGAATGAATTAAAATCTCAGGATGTTATTTATTTTCAGACAGATAAATGTTGATATAGGGTTAAATTCAGAAAAAAAACTATCAACAAACAATTTTCTTGATTAATTGATTCATTCATAAAATGTCAAATAAAATACCCATCCCTGTTTCCCAAAGTCAACAAATGTCATTTTATCTGACCAACAGTACATCCCCCAACAATGTTTAGATTAATATTGTATCATAGATTACAAAGAAAATCAGCAAATATTCACATTCAAGAAGCTGATTTTGGCTTGATAACCTAAGCTGGTAATCTATTATTGCAGTAGTTGTTAATTTTTTTGTCAGTTTGCTATTTAATAAATACAGACTGGGCCACGGAACAATAGCCCACCTTCAAAACAATCCACTTGCTTGGGGCTACTTTTCCGTGGCCCACACTGTAGATTAATAGTTTCAGCTTTAATGCAACTGGTGTTAAGCTTGTATTTTAATGCAGCATATCCATTTTTGTTAGACCATTAACCATATATTCACTATCAGAGGGGATGGCGGTCAGACATTTCTTTTAAAAAATGTTGTGTTCTCCTTATGCAGCGAACCTGGCTGCCACTGACATCATCTTCTTGGTGTGCTGCGTCCCTTTCACCGCCACCCTCTATCCTCTCCCTGGATGGATCTTTGGCAACTTTATGTGCAAATTTGTTGCCTTTCTACAGCAGGTAAAACCGTGACTCATGTTTTTAAATTAGTTATGTTTCTCTTTCTTGGCTCAGAAATGTGCTTTCACATACAGAGTGTTATTTTGCTGTTTTCCACTAAGGATACTGAGGGGAAAAAGCCATTTATCATTGCCTTTTATATTTGCTGGAAAATTCCCTTAAAGATTATTATGATTCAGTACATGTGCGCACAGCAATGACTATTAAATGTCTTCAACAATAGCTGCCAATTGTACATATTTCATAATTTCGCTGTGTGTTGTAGAAAACCCTATCTTTCTAATTCACTCAAGGAGGTCACAGCTTAACATTTTTTAAAATTACAGTGTCGGACTGTCACAAAAGGTATTAATCTCAAAAAAGCTGTTTATATTTTTAAATTCAGTTGCTTAAAAGGGTTAAAAATGAAATGAATTTTATCTTCACAGCTTGAGAAGACTTGTTGCAGATCCATAAAGATGCATCATACACAGATGACAACTGGTGACAGTTGATTCATCAGAGTATAACTCAAAATAACAAAAAGGGATGTTCAAGCAGCAATCAAAGAAAAAGAAAAATGTAAAATGTCATAGACTGTCAACTAAAAACTGTATGTCCTATAAGCCTATAATCAGCTTTAAAGTCTAATACTATCTGTTCTAGTTTACCAGCAGTAAGGGCACATTAAACATTATACAGCATCAGCGGTCACCAACCTTTCTGGCTTATGACATTTTAATGCAATGCAATGCCTATTCAGTATTTTTCACAGGCCTGAAGAGGTGTCTTTTGCTTCTTCTCTAGGTTCTCAAACAAAAGAAACAAAAAAGCTATTTACAAAGACATGTATATACTATATTACTTCATGCTCATGCCTTGTGTCACTTGTGTCAGGTGGAAAGTGTGGCTGAGTGTTGAGGCACTTCATCTTGAAGGCTTCTCTTCGAGCCAAAGCTTGTATTGCACCTCATATGTTTTTTTGGACAAAAGCATTTTATATGTATTTCTGTGCATTAGGAATAAAAGCCAAATTAATAAACATATAATTATCGAGAATCTCGTAATATAATAGCAAAGACGAGAAAGGGAAATATACTGTATTCATAATTTTACAGCAGCCATATATTTGTTAGTCATCTCACAAGCCTTCAGTTTGATCTGGAGACTCCTTAAGTGGCTCTGTAGTTAGTGTCAGAATCACTTTGCACTGGAGAGGACAAAGAAAGGCTGCATGCCTTTCAGCCTTTGCTTTTCAGTGCACAATTGTGAGTGCAACAAAAAGCTAATAATCCCCGCATTTTAGAGCCCCCAGAGTACCTTGTTAATGCACAAAATTAACAATTTTGATTGATTGATTGATTAAGTACTAGTTTTTCTCCACTAACTTCTGAGGGATATATCTGCCTCCTTAGATGCATAATGCTCCACAGTGATCACCACACTTATTTTGCCTGCCTGCTGTTTGGTATGGAGAAGGTAGTGTTCACTGGGTTTATCATCTCCTGCCTGCTCTGTCTGGGTTGATGTGGACCGTTTTACAACAAGCTGAAGATGCTAAAATGCTCTGTAGTCTTGTGCGTCTATGCATTTGTTAATATAAAAATATTGATTAGGCTAGGTTTAATTAAAGCCCAAATCAATAGCTTGTGTTTCAGTACACTATATTGATCTTTCTTTCTCTCCTTCTCTCTTTTTTTGTTCCAAGATTCTGAGTCAAAGTACAATCAGATAGAACAGCCTAACAAATGCTCCGCTCTGTTCACCAGTTAGCCTTTAACTTTGTCTGCTGCTTGGTGTTGTCTCTTGGTGACCGTTTGGCTGAAAACACAGTTGATAAAAGCAGCGAGAGCAACAGCTGAGTAGGACTACAGAGTACACAGACAACTCTCTCAGCACCATCAGCTTTTTTTCACATTACACAAACATCACTGATTTACTGTGAGCTTAAAAACATCAGCTGGTTGATCCCATAATCTTAGCAGGAAGTCTACATCATAGCAGAATGTCAGTGGTCAGATGGAGCTAAAAAGCTTTATAATTACAGCAGCAGACCAGCACATGTTGGTGAGGTCAACCTACTCTGCACCTTGGTTCTGCACTGTGTTACTGAAGTTATTACATGTCCACAGTTTTCCTTTCCTTGCACAAATGCATCATCTGGGTGAGGCCACGATCAGTTGACACCACGCAACTTGTTCAAACAGGAACGTCAGGTAAAATACCCTAAAATGCACAGTGTGAGACAATAAGTAGGCATGAAGCTCAGCTCTTTAAAGGTCACATTTCTCTGCCACACTGTAATTACACTTAACCATGCAGCTGTTGACTGCTTTAAAACATACTTAATCCGTACTCAGACCCAAATAGCTAGGAGACCCTGCACTGTCATTGAGAGTCTAAAGGAAGAGGAGGGTTGCCACCTCTCTACTTAATAAGCTTTAGTTAATAAGCAACTTGTCAGGTTCAAGCCAAATCTAACCCACCACTGTCCCCAAAAGCAACACAATATGTAATTTTCCTTTTGACAACTGTGCTTGTCTAAACTATGAGGTGAATTTAAATAATTTTAGATTTTGGATTAGAAGTGTACCTCATTCATTTGGAAGCCAGAAGAGGAGGAGGAGACCATCTGTCAGGTAAAAAAAAAAGAGACATTTTCTTTTGAACGCAGAATGACAAGTATACATGGATAATTTGTACATAAAAGAGTAAGATGTCAGTCTGAGGGGCAGGACAAGCGCACAGCCAGAGAGGCTAAAAGTACTTTTTATTGGAAACACAGAGATATGATTTCGTTTATTCAACAGAACATAGGAACTAGTAGCTTGTGTGTTTGTTCTTGTTGAAACAATGACTCTGAAACTTTTCTTTTGAAAAACAAATTTCACCCAATTTTGTTTTTAAATAAATACCAGTTACTGTGAGCAGAGACCCACAACCATTTATTATTGTATGTGCATAATTTTAATGATTATAATGAGACGGGGGGGCTGGGCGCTCATTTTGACTCAGTCTCACACATCTTTTCAAAAAGATATGGACCGTTAACCTGGGATGTGTCAGAATTTCCAAAGGCAAACTAAGGTGAAGCAAACCTTTTCCTGCTGTGTTTACACACATTAGTCTCTGTTAAAGCAACATTACGTGACAGATTATCCTACTAGTGCTACTGTTTCATGAAGACCTTGACTGTGCCATAACAGAGAATAACCAAGGGCATAATAGGATTGCTGAGCTACACTAATGAGGTCTCTATTACTTTTAAAGTTGCCAGTGAAACTTTTTTCACCAAAAACTCTTTAAACTAACTTTCTCCTTTTCCAGGACTTGTGATTTCATTAGCTCAAAAGTGGAGGACAGTAACAGTATTAATTTTATTTTACACATTTCAGTTTGAACACAGATGTAAGGATCTAAAGAGGGAACAGCAAAGGTCATTTGACACCTTAGGACAAACGATGCACTTGGTTCAGACTACTTTTACACTTGCGTTAATTATCACGGCCCAAAACGCCCTCATTTTCTATATTAGCAGTATTTTCAACACTCCACATACTGAAACTAAATCTGACAATAAATTGCACTACATGGCTAATGTGCTGTCAATGTGTCAGTCCTGGATCAGCTTCTTATTCGGTGCCATAAACCCCTGTTGTGAAACACACCGCTGCACCCAGTAACATGGTTCTTCATAAGCAAACACCAGACCTGACAGTGAGGAGCTAACAGAATGTAAACAAAGCAGAGAGCTCGCACGAGATCTTGCGCATGCACGGTTGACTCTGACTTGTACTAACCTCAGGAAATTATGGCTGCTCGGAGCCTTTGGAGCAACATGGTCAATTCTGGGGAATTTCACAGCTAAGGAGGCTTTTTTTCCTGGGAGCTGGTGGAAATAAAGGACTTGTAAAACACAATTCAACCTTTCCTCCCTCTATTCAAAGAAATAGGAAGAAATGGAGATCCTTTTGCTATCTGCCACACTGCTCAGTTTATCATCTATATATACTTTTTTTTTTCTTTTACAATGTCTGATCCCATTCCTTTGAACAGACATTAAGCATTAAAGATAACAAACCAGAGAAGTCTTAATGCACTAGGCATCTTAAAATTTGATGGAACATGGCATCTCCTCAGTGGTCTTAACACTGAACTCATTGTGACCCTTTCCCATTTCTCTCAATATATTCTTTGAAACCCTGATGTGGTGCTCCAAACCCCTGGAGGGTAATGGGTGCTGGCTACACAGTGGCAGATAAGAGGAGGAGAGGGAGCGGGAGAAAGACGTAGCTCGACAGACTAAAGAGAGACAGAATTAGGTCCTATTTGATAAAGAGCAGACAGAGAGAACTTCTGACCTCTCATTTCTCACCCCTCTGCACATTTTTCAAAGAGCTATGGGTTGGTATAAAACACAGTACAGCCCTTAGAGCTCCATGTATCTGTAATGAACAGAAAGTCGTTTTTGTGAAGAGCATGAAAAAAGTATAAGCTTGTTTTCTGTCTCATGCTCATCCTCATTGAAAATCAATGTACAGATGCGCATGAAAGGAAAACATCAATAGACACTCTCTAGTCTTGGCTCTTTCCCCGTAGGACAGTTAAAATGTATATTTTATATCAAGAATTTGGCTTTGTAAGAAAAGGCTAATTTTTCAAAGGCTGTGTGGGTCAAATTTACCTGAGCATTCCTATTGTGAGATGAATTAATTTGGCCTTAAATTAGCATTCTCTTGATGTGCTAGAATTGAATTGAATCAAGTATCACTGAAGCCTATTAAAATGAAAGTGAATAATTTGTTCATATGCTAATTAAAAAAACTTATCGCCAACGCAGGCTGCTCCCTGCTTCCTATTGCTCTGCACTGTATGTTTCTTCTCACTCTATCCCTCACTCTTTCATCATACTCTTCAGTTTAAAAGGACAAGAGCTCATTACAGAAAAAAAACTTAATTCAAGTTAGAAAACGAGTTGTGGATAAAGCCAGTTTCTTGATTAAAAAAAGGCTGCTCCCTTGCTTCTTAGTGAGGAGTGATGAACTGTAAGGTTGGATGCACAGTACGGGTCAAGTGAACATCGAGGACAGAGAAATGATCAACTAAAAGAATTGGGATTCATCTTGTGTTTACTGGACTTAACTTTAATATGGTTGAAGAAATCAACAAACATACTTCGGAGCTGCAGTCATGCAGTCTTCTGCCAGTCAAATCATCTTTTTTTATGTTCAGTATACCTAACTGAAGCATAGTTTGACCTGAAAGCCCCTCGGCCTCCTCTGGTGAATGATGCAATTAACAGACATGCTCTTCGTCTTCAAATGTGTTCTTAAATCTTATGAGATCTTAACTCCGACCTCTGAAACATGCAGTGCATGCTTTCTCTTGATGTTAAATTTCAGCCACAGTTCCCTCTGTTGCACTGGCAGTAAATCAGGCGCTGAAGTTATTTGTATAAATTTCCATTCTCTCCTCCCATATTTTTGCATCCTGAATGGGAGCACCTTAAAATACATATTGCCCGAGACCAGACCTGCAAATTCCTGTGGTACCACTTTTCTTCAGTTTTTCCAGTACAAAGCCCCACTGTGACTCCTTTGTAAACATGAACACATGCAATTTCACTGTTTACCACCAAAAAATGAGCAGCAAATTCTTAGTAAATATCCCCCACTGTGTTTAATGTGTTTGACGCCAGTTTCCGAATACACAGTTCCATGTAGTTTGCCCTAATGGAAACCATCTGGAGTTAGTCTCAGCTGACACTGGGGTACACCCTAGACAGGTCACCAGTGTATCACGAAGCTGACACACAAACAAACAATGATTCATGCTGACATTTACACCTACAGGCAAATTAGAATAACCAATTAAACTAACCTGTATGTTATTGGACAGTAAGAGGGGAAAACCCACGCGCTGCGTGCAAATGCAACACAGAAACAACCCTGCCAAGTTCATACCCAGAACATTCTGACAGTGTTAACCACTGCACCACCGGACTTATATCAGTGGGATAAATATCAAAGTTACCAGGCCACTGGTATTTGTAGACACATACTGTATATTATTCTCCCTATTTTATTTTTATGTTACTAGTTTGGCTACTAGACATTTCTTCCTCCTCAGTATGTACAGTATGTAACAACAAATCTACAGTAAATTACAGTGACTGTGCATTCAGATGTCTGACATTCTACACATTCAGTGTGCTCCACTACTCCTTTGTATTTGTCTCCTTGGCTTTCTTAGGTAACAGTTCAGGCCACCTGCATCACTCTGACTGCTATGAGCGGGGACCGATGTTACGTCACAGTCTACCCTCTGAAATCTCTCCGCCACCGCACTCCAAGAGTAGCCATGATTGTCAGCATCTGCATTTGGATCGGTCTGTCCCTGCTCATTTGATAAAGACAATATTCTCTTAACAATTCTTCTAACTGCATTTAATACAACTTTAATTCATTCACAACAGAGTTGAAAAATAATTAGAAACAATTGTGCATAAAATGGGTAACAAAAACAGCACACATAATTTCAACTCCTTCAACTAACACATTCCATGTCCTGCCCAGGGTCCTTCATCCTGTCCACCCCGATTTTAATGTACCAGCGTATAGAGGAGGGTTACTGGTATGGCCCAAGGCAATACTGCATGGAGAGGTTCCCTTCTAAAACCCACGAGAGGGCTTTCATCCTCTACCAGTTCATCGCGGCTTACCTGCTGCCTGTCCTCACCATCTCCTTCTGCTACACTCTGATGGTGAAGAGGGTGGGCCAGCCCACTGTAGAGCCTGTAGACAACAACTATCAGGTATTGTTCTGCTTTGTGCTTGACTTACTAATAACAATGGCTATACTATTTGTAACAGAAAATGTTTTTCTTATAACAAATACACAGAGAAATGTAATCTGACTTTGCAGTTCCAGATGCTTTTTAGCTTTTTGTTTTGGTTCACTCTCACTGCTCGCATTACACTTTTAGGATGCATCAAGCAGATGTTTTTTAATGGAGTAAATATTACTGTATTGTCAATTAAAATGCAAATGTTTGGCCTTTTATAAAAACTAGAGTCTCACAACAGAGTTCATAAAACATTTGCCCAATAAATGTAAAGAAAAAATTTCAGTACAATCACACTAAAGCTGGGTTTTTGGATCCAAATCACATTTCACATTTTAGCTGTTTACTGTAATTATTTTGGGTTGGGGCTATTGTTGGAAGGTTTGTGAACCAAAATTCCTTTGTATTTAACAGCAGACAAACAAAGCTAAAGACAAGCATTTAGCAAAAACTTACATCTCCCTCCAAAGTTGGTGGAAACTGAAAAAATTGAACTAAAAGGACAGTGACTATTGGACTTACATACACCAAGTGAACACACAAAAAAATCAGTAATAGATTTAGACAGTTTTATGTTGTAAATTTCCTCTCCTCTCATCCGCTCCCCAGGTCAACCTCCTATCTGAGAGAACTATTAATATCAGGAGCAAAGTCTCAAAAATGGTGGTAGTGATCGTCCTACTCTTCGCCATCTGCTGGGGTCCTATCCAGATCTTCATCCTCTTTCAATCTTTCTATCCAAATTACCAGCCAAACTACGTCACATACAAGATCAAAACATGGGCCAACTGCATGTCCTACGCCAACTCCTCAGTCAACCCCATTGTTTATGGTTTCATGGGAGCCAACTTTCAAAAATCCTTCAGAAAGACTTTCCCATTCCTGTTCAAGCACAAGGTCAGAGACAGCAGCATGGCTTCAAGGACTGCCAACGCTGAGATCAAATTTGTTGCTGCAGAGGAGGGCAACAATAACAACGGAGTGAATTGAATTTGACAACTAAAAGCAAGAAGAAGAATGAGATTATTGTTTGTATCCAGAGCAGCCGCTGCAAGAAAAAAATCATAATAATGATGCATGGGAGTCATAGGTTCATTGTGTGAATGTCTTAATAGAGCATCTGGTTGATTTGAAAAAGAAGACTCTGTTTCATCAGTAGAATTTATGTTAATAATACAACTAATTGACCACTAATGTTTAGAAACACAGGTGGATATAACAGCACAACATGCTGCAGTGTTGGCACATGTCATCCATCCAGGTGCCAAACACCACAGTCAAATAAAAGAGGACAGTTGTACAGATCTGATGATGAAAAAAGAAAGTTTGGCCTGAAACACAAAGGCTGTAGTCCCAGTCTCTGAGGTCAGAGTTGGTACAAACCTTTAATCATTAGACAGCTGATGATTAAAGACAGTATATGAACACAATATAAATTTTGAATGGATAATTACTCTTATTTGTGCCATTTACATTTGTTCCTATATCACTGGAGAGGAAAAATAATTCAATTACACACATGTTCAATAATAGATAGCTACTGTAGCTTGGCTCTGTTCAAAGTTAGAAAATACACCTACCTAATCAACACATATGTTCTGTTTAATTCAGGTGTTGATCTCCAAGAACTAGTTCCCTGATAGACTAGTAGTTAGGGCACAACGCTCTCACTGCTGCAGCCTGGGTTCGAGTCAGGGTTGTGTCAGGAAGGGCGTCCAGTCTAAAACAAGTGCCAAATGTCAATATACGAATCGTCAATGTGACGAGATTCACTGTGGCGACCCCTAATGGGGAAAAAGCCGAAAGTTACATTCATTGATCTCCCAAAAATGATTACAGAAAACCTCATCCATCATAAAACCACAAGGTGCAACTGTTGCATTTCTGTTTGCATACAGTTGAAACAACAGAGGATCAAAGCTTAAATGACTGAACTTTAGAGGTGCTGATAGCCACACCTGAACCTTTGACAGAGCCAGGCTTGCTCCCTTTTTCATTTTCCCCAAAGTTAGTGATTTCAGTCTTTGTGCTGAGCTGAACTTCAGCTCCACACTGTGTTCATGTCATATAAGTCTCTAACTTGTAGCTAGTGTTCATGTTAACTCAGATTTTTGTGAACAATCAGATGTCTGGCTTGGCACTTAATATATGGACACTATGTCAGCCAAATACTGTTGTTCAATGTGGTTAAAATTTCATGGATATAGTTTTTTTTTTTTTAAACCTCTCTGCTCAGCTACAAACCCAAACACCTGAAGACAGCACAGCAAACGTCAGCAGTATGTACAGCATTTGCAAAGAGATTGTAGTCAAACTAAAACTTTTGTTCAGTGTCTTCACAGGCCAATTTGGACTTGTGAATAATGGTCTGAGCTCAGAGTTAAAGTTATGCTTTTCTTGTTGGTGAGAATCCAACAACACAAGAACAGCATCCAGCATCCAGTTGAATGGGAGTTTCAATCCTGCCAAATGTGATGAGTCGGAGCTGGCTGAATCAGGGGTTACAACCGGTGAAGCATAGCCAGTGTTTATCTTTCTTTTGGATTGTGTTGGATACACAAACATCCATATCCTCAATGCATACACAGTCACTCACAAATACAGACATGCAGACACATACACAGCTCCGCACATGCACTTTCACCCTCATGTCCAGTTGTTTTTTTGGTTTTATTTTCTCTGAGAAACACCTTTGAGAAACATCATTGTATGATCTGGTCAGACGGACTGAATTCCAAATGGTGGAGGTGACCTGAGTGGCCTGTGCCCTGTTTTGGTGGTAAACTTGTTCAGCTGTCTGGTGATGAAAGTACACCCTGTAATTGGTAATAAATCTACAGAGCCCCTGTCCGCCCTCCACTAGATGTGGTCCTTTTCTGTCCATCCCACACAGTACTACTCAAAATCAGAACTCCGTTTAAGACCCATAGAAAATCTGTTAAAATGAGTCTCATTTGAATTGTAGATGCTTCAGGACTTGTCATCATCAGGGCTCCATTTGAAAGACATCAAAGTGTTTTGAAAGGAAAACCAGAATGTTCTTGGCTGCTATCATTAGGGATAAATAGGTAATAACAGGGTGCATAAAGAGTAGTCATTATTTGCGATATCATCTGGGAACAGTAGTGGTTTAACCTTTAGCTAGAGTTAAAGATGTCTCTTATCATGTTCCATAATAACTGCATGTACTCCTAAAAAAGAGCTATAGCACAATATGCACCTTATAACCATACAAATTAACAAGTTTACATTTTTTGATGAAAAGGTTGATCACTATTTAGTTCAAATGATTTTAAGCTGATCTATTTGATTAGGAAGTGATTAAAAATCAAACTATAGTTTCTGCCGACAGTGACGATACTCAGAATGGACTAAATGAAATGTAGGAAGTGTTTTAAAAAGCCATTTATTTATATCTGAGTGCAATTTAACATGCTCCATTCAATGCTAATGACTGCTTATTGCTTTTTAATATATGGTAATTGTGCTGCATTTCCTCCACAAAGAGCACTGTACTCCATTAGGACCAAAATCATGAGAAACATCTATGTTTTCTGCTTTTACTGAGTTCTTCTCTTGTATCTACTCTTATTCTGACATTGTGATTCTGTTACATGTCTGATGGTTGTTCACCAGTCTCTTCAGTAAACCTTCAGCCTTGAACAATAAAACAGTAACATTTAAAAGTTTGGGTAGGCTGTTTCAGATTGAGATTATCATTATGGACAACAACAAGTCATGATGATTTCATTCTTAAGGTTTATTCTGGGGCGGGTTTAGAAAATTTTGGACATGGTGGCCATGCTGGGACATAGAGAGGGGTGGCACATTTGAAACACATTATAAAAGTAAATTAAACCCCTAGTTCATGAAATACTAAACAAAACATTTTAAGAATCTAACAGTTTATTCTGTGTGATAAAGTGCTTTTTTTTTGGCTAACTTTGGCTGCACTGCGTATTTACCCCTGGCTGGGAACAGTGCTGCACAGCATCTGTACAACATCAAAAATGTCATGGCGATGGACACTTTGTCAGTGTGGCACAAGTATCTCTGCATGATAGATCAGTCCTATGGTGTCTACTTTTACAAAAGCTCAATCCCCAAAACCAGACAAAATGCAACAACACCCATGACTCACCATTCCTGCCCACACATGGTGTTGATAACCCTCGTAACAATAATGTGTCTAAATGCCATTGTTATCCATTTAGCACTGAATTCACTGTAGCTCTGAAAAAAGACATGTACTGAATGGTACAGGCAGTGTTTATATCACCCTGTGCCAGAGTTAAAGAAAGGCTGCAGGAAACACTAAGTAGTCAGAATGTGGGAGGCCTAATTCACTAAAAAGGTTCAAGCCTGTACGATGAAGGCCACAGGGTACTCACGTAGACTCATTGTACTCTGTGTATTGTAACTCTTCTGTGACACATCTCTTAATGTTAGCCATTGTCAGAGTGTCTTTTTGTGGATGTTGAAGCTTTTCTGAACACATATTTTGAGCAAAAACATTCTTTGTAATTTATGAAGTTTGGTGTTTCACAAAGCAGAGCACAAGTAAAATAAGCACATATTACTACATACAGTATAAGGGTAGGAAAATGTGGCACAAAACCAAATCTATGCATCTAGAAAGTATCACATAGGCATTGAGTTAGGTTGCGATCAGATTATTTTGAAGGCCATAACATATGATACATATAATTTCATACTCCTGAATCCATGCAGTGACCCTTCCTGCCCTATGGATGGGGTCACTGTCATCCTAGAAGAGCCCAGTCATTTACTCAGGGCTTCCTTTGATTTGTCACCCTTGTCTACAGTATAAATGACTTGGCACTTGAGATAATAGACAAGTGTCTTTAAACCAAACCAGCACTGATTTCCCACATCAGCCAAAGGTAATAAAACTCACATTTTTGCAAACATCATGTTATATTGCCACTGCACAGCACTTTTAACACCAACAGGATCAACTTTAGAATCATACAACGATTTTGATGTTGCAAAAGGTTTAAAACTAAAGTATCTCTTCACCCTGTGGTGACCTTAGTCTGGAGGTTGAAACATCTGTATTTTGAAGAGATATTTTATATAGTACTTCCTCTTATGAGACTTATGAGGTTCATAGGCTCCCAGTGCTCCAACAGTCACACCCACTTCACACAGTAATTGGGCAGGTGTGCAGGGAAATAGCAGGATGTGAATTTCTCTCTCCAACTCAAACTCTTTCAACCTACATTACATCCATGCCATTTTTGTGTGCACAAACTAGTACAGCATCAACAATGCTGTCCAATGTTGTTTGCAGCCCATCTGAACAATTATTGCATCTTGCCCCTCTCTGTGATGGTGGCTTTTCCCTCCAACAGCAAGTATGACCGAACAGCATAAACAGAAGTTTGAATGACAAACATATTTGTTTCAAGCACACCCCAGCCTTTACACTGAAGTGGAGGGTAAATGGTGGACAGCGTTCAGCCTCTTTTTATAACTTGAGGAATTGCACCATTATTGTGTTCCTATTCCCTTTATGAAGGGAGAGCACTGTTACACTTGGTTTGCTTCCAGATACCAATCTGAGAATCCACAGCTCATGGGAGCAATTTTGTTGTACAGCTGTGTGGAATAAATCATAGTTTAATCTTATATATGCAACACCTTCATTATCTTGATTGTGTTACGTCTGTGGAAGGTCATTGTTTTCTACATTTAAAATGATTCATAATTCACTAGAATCCCTTATCACACCAACCTTTGAGTTATCCAGAATCTAACGATAAGATCTAAATCACTCCCACAATTTATTGCCTCTCACATATTCTGACATGTGCTTCACTTCATTTATTTAAACATTTATTTATTTACTTGAACAGGAGCAGAATATCTTTTGCCCAAAAGTGAGTCTTCACCAGAAAATTCCCTTTTCCCAACATTAACCACCAATAGCTTGAAATCTACATGTTATACTGTAGCTCAGTGATGAAGCTTACTAGTGTTACCTGACCGGCTTGATTCAGTCTCCACACTCCCACAGGGCTGATCAAGTGTATTACAGCCCAAGTCAACATTAGTTATATTACAAACTTGTTAAATGAAAAGAGATTTAACCAAAAGGTAAAAAAAAAAAAGTCAGCTGAGCTACACATCATTCCTTTTTTTTTTTCTTGGAATCAAAGGCTTCATTTTACATTTTAGTGAGAGAACTGGAGCTGTTGGACTTTCATTCAGTGAGGCGACAGTGGTGTGGTGGGTAGAGCAGTCGTCTCCCAACCGGAAGGTTGAAGGTTCGAATCTTGGCGCCTGTAGTCCACATGTCAAAGTGTCCTTGAGCAAGACACTGAACCCTGTTGCCTGTGATGGTGGTGCATATGCACGCAGTGGCCCAGGGCCCTCGGCTCCAAACATAATTTCATTGTATGTGTCACAATGACTTCTTTATAGTCTTTTTCTTTTTCACAGTTGAAACACTTCCTTTCATGCTGTAAATACAAGCACAATGCAAAAAATAAGATCAAGCTAACATTAGCATACTGACTTTCACAGTCAGCCTTGTGAAATAGTTACGCTACAGGGCTAGTGTAGCTAGTTGCCAGTTTTACGATTGGCTTAAGCTTTTTGTTTTTAACTGCTAGTTCAAGCTAGCTTTTCCAAACACAAGCAGCCAGTATCACACACACCACAGATGCTATTCTGTTTTTATACTGTCCTGGTCCCTGGCACCTCCAAGTTGTGAGGTGCTAGTGTCAGGGAATCTAAGATAAGTGATCAGTCTCTTATTCTCAAGATGTAAAAAAGGTGAACATTGGAAAAGTAGGGAACAGGATAGAGCAGAGGGGTGATCCCTGGTTTTCAATATAAACACCTTTCACATTAAACACAGACATTTTATACATATAATTATGATAATGTAGCTTTAATTTGACATCTACTGATTTTAATAGTGGCAATGCTAATGTTTTAGGAGAAATAGATTTTTCTCTGCAGTGATTTATGTCAAATGACAGGCAGAGGGTCATTGCCCTGTGATCTAGAGTACGACTCTGATGTCTGTTGACTCACACTTGTCAAACATAATCATTCATCAACATCCCTGCTGTCTCTCCCTTACCTGCCTACACTTGTTGTCTGTACATTTGACATTTGAAAGCAGCTTTCTTGTCTCTGTGGGCTTCACGCTTACTTTGGCTGCAGCTCTTTAGGCAAACAGAAGAAAGTAGATCATGTTTATCTTTAAAGTGAATAAGTAGTTTTGAACAATATTTATGTGTCCATTGGGAAATGAGGTTGTGTTTATTCTGACATACTTTAAGATCTCATAAACCTCTAAAGCCTCTCAGTATAACAAACTGTTTTAGTTGGTTAATAGTTTCACCTGGTTTAACATGTTGCTCCCCCAGAGAATTCATCCTCAGATTAGAAAATATCACAACAGCGATGATGAAAAAGAGTCTGGAGAAAAAGTCAGGAGAGATGTGTGGGATGTGATTCACCATCCTGTTCACCAAACAGTTGGATTTCCACCTAAATGAGTTTTGGGGGTCATTTTGTGAACTGGCCAACAGATATAATTCATCACCCACTGAGGGAACAACAGTTCAATCAAAGCTCAAATTCTCATTGTGTCTGACAGTACAGGACCTCAAAGAAAGAAGGAAAGAAAGAGATGAATGATCAACTTGCCCATGAAGAAGAAGCCCCATCACGACTCAAGTAGCTTCCTCAGTGTAAAGTGAAAAGCAATTCCTTGAAATTGCTGCTAAATCAATTTGAGCTCTCAGCTCAGGAAGACTTCAGGACATTATTTTATTACATTGCATTTTCACAATATCTGTTATAACCAGAGCTCAGTGTGCTTCTCTTATGAGAAGAAAAATGACTGCAGACAAAAACATCATATCCATATGAATAGACTAACATTTCAACAATCAATACATGAAACAAACAAATGTCATTTTTCTACATTGTTTTCCATCATTTGAGGTTTAATCTGCACTCTTTTAACTGTGTCATCTCACCGTGTTTCCTTCTTCTGCAGTGATTTATTGGCACTGGACTGAAAAATTTGCATCAACATTATTAACCTTGATGTTTCTAACTCATAATATTTACCTAATAGATGTGGATCAAAACATACATTACAGTAAATTGCATTTTACTTTGCTGCTTTTCTTGCAAATTGTTTAAACACTGTGCTACATTTTGGTGAAATATTGACATGAGATGCCAGCAGACTCCAGCTGGTGACAAATCACAGCTAACAATATTACACTTCTACTTACTGTTGTCTTTCTAGCAGTGTGAGAACAAATGTGATGCTGCAAGACAATGCACTGCTCACGTCTTAAGTCCTTTTCAGACATACAATGACACCCTGAAATTATCTAGACATTACCCAGAGGAGCTGTATGTGAGAACGCAAATGTGTGAGTCAGATGACCCGGACATTAATTGGACTTTACTCTACCAGCTCCCAAAGTCCACGTAATGTCCGAGTGAGCCCATGACAGAAAACAGCAGCCTACAGACCGAAGTATTCACACTGAGGTACTGGGCTTGTTGATGAGGTTCTATCACGTGATTGGAAACCAGAAGGATACAAACATCTGATGGTGAAGAGGAATGGTCACTTACAGTGAAGATGCCAAAGAAAAGATCCGGACTACA